AATTGTGACGTTCGAGAATTACCCCGCTGCAGCCTTAGGACAGAGCACTATGGGGCTGCGTGTAATAGCCCGGTGAGCGGATGGAGAAGCCCATTTATCCATCCATCCTCTTTCCTGGACTGTCTCTAGGTGTTTTGGTATTGTGAACATTCTTGCACATGCTTCTTGGTATACACAACGAAAATTTTTTCTTTGAAAAGATTTGTATGAGGCGGGACGAAAACTTTTCAAAGTGGTTTGTTGTTTAAACTGATTACAGCACCATCAAGCACCATCGGCAACGTTAAAAAACAAACAACCCCAAAAACGTGAATGTCATGACTTCTCCACTCGGCATGGCGATCGCTCTGACTTTAACAATACCCAGCCCTTGGGTACAGTTTATTGGAGTCAGAGGGTTAAAAAGGGGGGTTAATAAAGCTCTCTCCTCGCCCCCTGCATAGCCAACATGCTTGGATTCTGCAGGTTTAATATAAACATTTGACCTTTCTCCCTGACACACCAACCAGCTGCTAGGCTGACTTGACTTGGCGTTTTACAGGACCTGAAAGCAGAAATAGACAAAATGAGCGCCCGGCCTCCACCCTCTTCCCGATACCAGTGACTATATCCAGAGTTTACTATAAAAAAGCTTCCCACTGGGGAGCACTTCTCTGACTCTGTCGGATGGGGTTTTCTGGGTCTATCCTCACATTTAGATCCCAATAAACTTTACAAAATTTTTAAAAAATAATAAAAGCTTCGCCCCGAACTCACGTATATAAGCGTTTGTACCGGTTCCTACAGGGGATTGAGGGTTAAATTTCCAGGATAAACATATTGGAACAAAGGCTTCTGGGACTTGTAGTCCGTTACTCAGCGCGCGTTGCTCTCTGGGAGCCGGAGCCAGCTATGCGCAGGCGCGGATGGTACCTCTTGAGGGGCGGGATAGCTGGGACAAAAACAAGGGAGGTGGGTCCACGAGCAGGCAAAAGTCAAAAGCTGGGCTGGATGCGTGGGCAGCGAGGATGAGAGGGCCTCGGGACAGGGGCCGCGGTCTCCTGAGGCGTTCCCATGGCTCCTGGGACTTGTAGTCCTCGGCATCCTACCACTCGTTGCTCTCTGGGGACTGTAGTCGTTGGTGAGGTCTACGCAGACGCACTGGTTTCCACGTGGAATCTCCTGTCTAACGCCTCTGCTGGAGAGGGTGGAAGCGGAACCCCACGCACGCAGGCCTTTGAAGTTTCCGCCCATACAGTCAGGAGAAGAGGGGCTCCTGTGCAGGGCGGAATCAAGAAGATCACTGGATTTATCTTTGCAATCTCCATCTGTTTATCCTGAGTGGAGCTGGTTTGCCCCTTACAGTGGCAAATTAATTTTTATCTTTAATATGTTTGCTTATATTTGAAAGGTGAATCCATTAAAATACTCAAAAATGGGCAGGCCCGTGGCTCACTCGGGAAAGTGTGGTGCTGATAACACCAAGGCCACGGGTTCGGATCC